GGAAGAAGCAATAAAACATGAACAGTATGCTACCATTTTTTTTCTGAGCTATTAACCTTCGACTTTATTTAATTTATAATCAATTCAGATGGGAGAAGACGCACATTCTGTATCTCAACCAGGAAAGGTCTACCCAAACCAGTATTCAGACCTAAGAAGCAAATCAAAACTAAATTAAACAGTAACTGAGCTTACCATTTGTCACTTGGGTGAAATAAGATTTCCAGTACATCGAGATCTTCTCTACCAGCTGCATGGAACTTGTAACTATCACCTCGACACAGGGGAAGAATATTGTTGCCTAGAATCTCCTGCAGACACCCATTATACTGCCAACTTTTGCTTGTCTAATGAACAGTTGTATAATAGAACATTCGGTCACCAAAGAAACAATCACTACCTCGACCGATGCTTCTCCCATTCTTTCACCACCAACAACCCATCGTGTTTGACTCACATTTCTTGAATACTACAATAAAGGTTGATAATCCAGGGAGTTATGACTTCCGAGTCAGTGAAATACTCAACCAAGTCTTCATGGGGGAAAAAGAAAAAGTGGAAAAGTAAAACTTAGCTTACCGAAATGATCCAAGTATATTGAAGTCCTATAACAATTTGAGCCCAATGGTATGGTTCACCGACCTATATAGATTTGATTTGGGGCGAGAGACAGAGAATACCACTATTAGTAACCAGTTAAAAATGTAACAAAATCTGAATGTGAAAGTAAGCGTCAAATTATTAAAAATGTAAGCAAAGAAAAAAGAGTTGATTTCTTGAGTCCTTTACACCGATATTAGAAAATGATAAAAAGAAAAAGATTCACATCATTAATTTCTACATTGCGAGCTTGCAGTTTATTGAGTCTAATGCCCCGGGTGAAATCATCCCGTATTCATCCAATGAATGTTCTTTTTTTTTTTTTTTTTTATCGAGTATACTTTCAATGAAATCAAATGGTTAAGGAAATATTTTTATTAATAACTAGAACATAAGGACCAAAGTTCATTCAGCCAGTGACATCATCTTTTTAATCATTTAAGTACTATGCAACGAACTTACCTTTTCTTGAGGAAATTCAGCTTCTTGTGAAGGGTGGAAACAATCATCAACGACAGAATTGGCGTTACAATTTGAAATATCCGAGGGTTCATCATTGCCAGCTGGAATTGAATCATCATTAGTTTCTGAGCTACGATCACTGGCTTTAACAGGCATATCTCAGTTCATATGTCAGAGGTAACTGATTTAATACTTACAAACAAATACAAATAAATTCATATACACTGAGTTTCTAGAAGTATAGGAAATGATTGCAGCATCCCTGTAGGGTTCAGGAAGTAGAAACAACAAGACCTCTAAGAGAAAAGAAGCGAACGTATTAACTAGAATTGGGCTCCTGTACAACTTTGTGTTTCACATAAGTCCAGATGGGTAATGAAAAGAGACAAAAGTACTCATTTCTTCCACAAGTTGGCTGGCAGCTAAACGAAGGAAAGACTTTCTTTCAAAACTCGTGTTTCGTCAGAGGGCTTAGTCTGGCTAATGACAGCAATATTGAAACTGAAGCCGTCCATTTTTGGGAACTTGTTAGAAAAAACAGTCGATTTCTCTAGGGATCCTATTTCTGCTAAAAATAGAAGCTCCTTAAGGCAGCTAAAAATTTAGGCTCCATATTCAGAAGTGAAAATGACAATGTGGACATGTTTCAAATACCCTTTTTCAATCACAGAATTACAATGCTTCACTCTAACAAGACCTCTATTACTTTGATTCTAGGAAGTTGGGAGGTTGCTCCATGAGGGACTTTGCCTATCAGTGTTACCACTACTCTGTAAATAAAATTCTTGGCTGAGTGTTCAATATTGCCACACCGTGTATAACAATGTGAATATATTAACTTTTGAAGCCTATTAATTAGTTTATTTATTGTAATTTTGCAGGCACATACATATGCACGCACAAACACGTATATACTGCTACTATGTTTCTCCCAAATCTCTACCACTTCCTAAATTCTAATTAGGTTATGTAGTATTGCAATAGGTTTTGATATGAATTTAATATTATTGTACATATAGATTACAAGAACATGACATCCAAGAAAATTGATGGTAGTAATATATAACTTCTCATTTCTCAATTTATACAGAAGAGCAGTGACAAGTTGATAACAAAGGTTCAATTAACTAACCAATTTTTGTCATCTTGCAATCGTTCTGGTTTCTTTTGATGGAATTATCATTGCCGTTTGAAGCTTTAGGATGACTATAAGTTAAACGGATGCGAAAACCACCTGAACTAGCTTTGCAATCCTGCATAACTTCATGGATAAATATTAAACAATGAACTTTTCCCTTCAAACAACAAAATCATAAAAGAAAAAAACTACAAAAAGAATAGTCCTCTTTATGATGAATGGCTCGTTTGCATCATTTTCCATAAGATAAACACTTTTCTTTAGTAAACAATGGAGAGATGCAACTCCACTCACCGGTAAAGTTTCAAGAGGCTTTGTTATACAGATTTTTAATGCATCCTTTGCCCAAAGAGATAGAGGAGGTGGTTTGCTCTGAAACCAGTCTTCATAGCCACATTATCTTTTCAAATACAGCCTACAATACAGGGATGAAAATAATAACTACAAAATGAATCGACAGAGTAAAAATGGACTATTGAAAGTCCAACACAAACAAAAACGTGGCAACATAAACGGAAGCGGTTTCAAGAGAATTTCTCATATGGAATCATCCAATAATAACTTTAAAAACGGTTATGTTTCAGAACTATATGATAAAAACTTCCTTCTTTTTTTTTCTCTGTTTTCACCGTGATTCTTTCCGCAAGCACTTTACTTTTAGTTTTAAAAAATGCTTCCCAATGGTCAGCCAAATTTAGTTCACAAAAGAATAGATATTCAATTTTTTGTTTTCAACATCATTTGTTAGATGATGCTCTAGTTATAAACTTGTTATTCATTACCTATAGACATAAATTTATTTCATTAATCTTTGCTTTTACTTTCTCTCACTAATTTGTTTCTGCACAACATCTCTTTTCACACAAAATCTTCGGTTAATCTCTTTTAACTTACATTTTCTCTTTTCACTTTCCTAAAATCTTCAGTTACCAAACAAGCTTTTCTCATTTCTCCAGAATGATCGAAGGAACTGACACCTCAAGAGAAAAATTATCAATCTGATGGCCCTCTTCCTTTACCATCTCGGAAACTGAATCAGTTAAATCATCAGCTCCTTTATATTTTACAAAGTTGCAGCCATATAAAAGCAGAAACAGTAAAAACAGTAAATGCAATAGATGCCAACATTATTTCTAGTAAAAACAGTAAACAGTAAAAGCAGAAGCAGAATCATCAGCTCAATTCCAATAGATGCCAACACCATTTCTAGAAACAGTAAAAACGTGTCCATATAAAAGCAGAAAAGCGTGACTAAGCACATCCTAGAACATAATAAATGCTGATCAGCTATAGGCCAGTATGAGGTACAGATTTAAAAAATGTTGCTGCTCATGCTACTCCTATTATCGTCCTTTCCTTCTTATGATTTATTATTATTATTGTTATTGTTACAAAAATCATTATGATCAACATCACGCTGAAAATATACAGACGTCACGTTAATAGCAAGCAAAAATCTGAAAATTGGAAATACAAAACATGACTGATCACGTTAATGATGTCATCGGATGACATAAATGTCAAAACCGTAATGGGAGAAAAATCAACATCGATTGAAGAAAGAAGCACATTCAAACGCAAAGAAAATTTCCTCTAAACAACAGACTATCAAGACATAAAGTAATGGCCGCCTTCTGAACAACGGTTATTCTGCTATGAAATCCTAGGTTCAAGTGAGGAAAAAACGTAGGATACAAATCGAACGAAAAAGTAATTCAAACACAACGGAGTTTCCTCCAAACTTCAAAGAAGCACATTCAAAGTTAATCGATCGCATTCCTAATCAACTATAAAATAATAGGTTGCGAGGAAAATATTAAGAATAGCAACCGAATAAAGAAGCACATTCAAAGTTCAAACACAAGCAGAATTTCCTCCAAACTGCATACTATCAGGTTATGTAATGATAGCTTCATCGATCGCATTCCTAGCGACGGTTATTCTTTTCCATGGAGACTTCGATTGAAGCGAGTACAAAATTAAGGATAGCGACCAGATAAACAAAGAACATTCAAACTAAACCAGAATTTGCACCAAACTGCAATCCAACAAGCTATGAAGTGAAAATTTAATTGACCGCATTGCTTATGACGGTTGTTTAGGCTATGAAAATCCTAGGTTCAAGTGAAAGGTTCAAAGACGAGAGATCGTACGCCAATCGACAACAGGTCTTTGATCGCGTGAGAAGGCATCTGCGGAGCGACATTGCTAAGTTGCTGCAGTTGATTATACTGAGAAATGGCTTCTTCAGTAGCGGAAGAAACTAATGTCGCCTCAGGATTCGCTTGCAATTCGTCCCGTTCGCTCCATAAAAGAACTCCAAAGAACAAAAGTAACTGATAGTTTAGAGAACTTCAGTATTTGGGCGGCAAGGGAAGGGAGGGAAGTTTTAAGTTTATATTGTTTTAACTTGGCACGCTCCTGTCCCGCATTCTTGATCGTTGGATCAACTCGACGTGGCAAAATTCATGTTTCTAGTCCAGATTCCTAGATCCATCTTAAACGACGACGTATCGCAGTTATTCGCATTACCAGTAACCCCTCCACATCACATTTAACTCTTATTTTAGTTCCTCATTTCAAAATATCAATTTAAAATATATTCTTTTTCCTTATAATAATATTTATTTCACGACAGTTTCAAATATTTTAGAGACTCTCCATATTTTAAAATATTAAGCAGACATTAATAATAAAACTATCGCAGTAATCAAAATAATTAATAAGTATTAATTAAAAAATTAAAGAGATTGGCTAAAATAGAATATTTAAAAAAAAAATTCCTAATCATTTCAAAATATAAAGGATCAATCCTGCATTTGAAAAAGACACTATATATTAAGATTCAGAAGATGCTTCCTACAACAGTTGGGCAATCAAACTATTTGCATCCTCTGGTAAAAGTTGATGAAGGAAAGGCATTACCCACACGATCAGAAAAACTAGGCAGTGAAGAAAACCCAAAATTCTTGCAAGAAAAATGCAACCTCCCTAACAAAATCCGACCAACCCTGCATGATGTAACAAACATTCACAACACTGCTGCCAATAAAGATAACACAGTCCTTTCTGAAGAACGTAAAAGAGTGGCCTCTTTCACATTCTATCTTCTCTCCTCCTAGGGGCACATGTGATGATTTCATCAACTCTAAGAATCATCTCAGCAGCCTCCGTTGCAGAAAGCAATACGGCCTGCTTCACTTTGAAAGCTTCTGAGATACCAAGTTCAGCCATATCCCCTACCTGTCACATATACAATATACATCAAGGAAGCTTACAAAAATCTTTTTTTTATTATAAAGTGATATGAATCGATCAGGCTATTGTCATTGTCTTTTTTATTACAAATTTTAGTGTGCTGTCATTGTCTTATAGAACTTCAATATTATAACATGACAAAAATGTGTTAGTAAAGATCAATTAAATAAGATAGTATGAGCACAAGGGATATTTAAATCGTGAAGGACTGCATTCTCCTGCATATGATGTCTAGTCACTGCAAAATTACTTAATGGCGATTAAGGCATTACTCTTCTAAAACATATTTCAATCTTGACACTTACCGAACCAGAGATGACGTCGATCCCTGCATTGCAACCTTCCTTGTGATGCTCAGCCCGGAGCTGCGCAATCAAGTCAGCACTATCCAACCCAGCATTATCAGCAATGATTGTTGGAATAGCCTGTAGAGCACGTGAAAAAGCTTCAATGGCGTGTGATTTCTTCCCAGGAGTCTTCCTAGCCAACTCATCTACTTCTTTTGACATAATCATCTCGGGCCATCCACCTCCAAGCAGGACTCTGCTGTCATTGACTGTCTGAGACAGTACACACAAGGCATCATGCAGAGACCTTTCAGCCTCATCAAGGACGTGATGACTGGCAAAGAACAAAAGACAACCCAAAAATAGCACTGTCAAAACATATAACAAAGCAAATGAAACAGCTCCAAGAAAAAAGTGTACATGTAAAAATGACCATTACAAATTTCCAATTGAGGGTTTATGTAAGGCACCAATTGCATGGTGGTAACAACCATAGGTTATAAAGCCTTCTTCAACAAGCACCACTTTATGATATTTGCCATCATTTTATCAGAAATAAACCGTCCATAGAAATTAAAAAAACAATACTACATTAAAAAATAAAATTCATTAACTGACCAAAATATAGAGAAATGCTCGATATATTTTTGGCAGAAAAGCAGGAAAATAAAGTATTTCAGCTGGAAGATACCTTGCACCCCTTAGCACAATTGTACACGCCTGACCCATTCCCACACCAGAAAAATGGATCAGTTTGTCCTCGCCAATCATAATCTCCTCAATCAACTTGCAATGTCCAAGCTTCACAGATTCCGGATTGTCAAAAGTTGAAGCAATCTCACCACCAGTTACTAAAGCCAGACGCTCTATGCCATCAAAATCAGCATGCTCAATGGCAAGTATTCCTGCATCTGCAAATAGTTCCTCCGGGAAATTGTAGATCAACTGTCTGTTAACAAAGCAGTTGATTCCATGACCAATTATCTTCTTCACCTTCTCTCTCATTTTATCCTTTTCAGCACCCTCAATTTCAGCAACTCTTGCCATTGAATCAACTCGAACTCGAGCACCATAAATCTTGACTTTGTCGGTGTCCATAGCAGTATTTGCCACTAAAATTTTGGCATTCTCTATGCGCTTGGGTTGGCCAATACCAATTTTTTTGTCAAGAATAAACCTGAAAAAAAAAAAAAAAAAAAAAAAAAAAAAAAAAAAA